CACCCCAGAAAGGATGTCTACACATCTGATTAGGCCACTGTTAAATATTTCAGCTAAAACAACACCTTCAACCATCTCTTCAGGTTCCAACCACACTCTTCAGTTTTACCCTTTGTGTAAAGCTCCCATGTCTCCAGCCAAAAGCAGCCCCCTCAGAAGTCATATCCGAAGTCACATGATGCCATTTCAGTAACATGTCTTAACTCCACCTGCACAGGCTAAAGAAAAAACACTTGTAGTGTCTCATCACCCTCAAAACTAAGTCTTTTCATGGTGATTTAATCTGGGTGTTTTGCTTGTCTGCTTTGCTGTTTTACTATACAAACCCCATCCACTTCCATCTCACTGTAACTATCTCATGGATAACATCAAAGGATATTATAAGAAATACGAAAAGTGTAATTCCCTGCGGGGAGGCCATCTGCAAACTGCCTTATCCGTCTGACACGACGGTAAAGATTTCTGAACGTAGCAAAGGCTGACACTCGCATCCAGATAATGAAGTCATCATTTACATAACCGTTGTTCCTTTCATCTTCCTCATCTAACAAATACACTGGTTTCTGCCAATAAGGAGGTCTTGCTGTACCTGACGAAAAAGAAAGAAATGAGGGAAGACACGCTGTCAGTAAAAACAGTGGTTGGTGACTAACTTCTGGGCCTACTCACAACCAACACAGACCATGAGATATGAAAGAGAAACAAGACCCTGTCCAGTTACTGAAAAACTATAGATGCTAGATAACACTTTTCACCCAAGCATCTCCACTCACCTCAAACATGAGGGGCTTGGACTAGATGACCTTTAAAGGTCCCTTCTGACCCAAACTATTCTCTGATTCTATGAATGAGAGTTTAACAGTACCCAGGGGTTGCTACAGATTAGAAAATTCAAGCACAGGAAAACCAAAGCAACTTGCACAAATGGAAATACTGTTTATTCTGGATTCTTGACTCTTCAGCAAGCAACAGGCTCTCTATAATGAGGAGTTTGCCTTCATTTTTATACATTAATTTATTCCTGTACAAACAGAAAAGCACCTTTTTACTGTCTAACGGCATAAACTATGATATTTAGAATCTGTCATATGAAAACTACTTAGATAATTAAATCTTGCGTATTGCATCCAGCACAGCACTGCCTTGGTCCAGAATAGGGAGCTTTTAGTCCCACTTCAGTACTGATCAACCATAACAAGAAAACGGCCATAGGAAACAGCTGTTTGGGAGAATTAGTGATGATGGCAGCCTCATTTGTCTCACAACTGCCTAAGAATCTGCAAAGGCATGAAGAAGGAAAAACATGACATGCAATTCTTCTTCATAGATATTTTCAACAGGAAAAAACAGTGACTGCATCCTTGCTTTCTCGGGACAGATTAAGCATTACAAGAAACTATACAGAAGAGTGTTGACATGGTATAACTTCAGTCTTCCAAAACCACTTTGTCCTAATTTCTGTGCTCAGTGATAAAACAAAAAAAAGTGATATTTTGGCTAAATCTGTCTTCTGCTCTCAGTCACCTTCTTAAATCTGCTTCTCCAAGCTGCTTTGGGACGTATTTCTCCCAAAGGCAATTCGTCTCAGAATGGGAGACCCTCACATGGAGGGGGAGGTAGGGAAGCTATTGAAAAATAAGGAATACTAGTGGAACCATTCTCACCTGCAAATGCAGAAGAGAGATTGTATGATTTTGGATTGCGAAATTTCACATTTTTATCTGTCCACCAACTGTTTCCAGTCTTCAGCAGTGGTACTTGAATAACAGATGAGTTAAGATTGTAAAAAAGATCAATAGTGTCTGTAGGGAATACAAGAAGCAACAAGCAACGCGTATGAGTAAAAGACAGTCATTCTAATTGCCAGCATGACTAATAAAAACCATCACATTGAAGTGACAAATGACTATTCAAGTGAATAGAAAGAAAAAAAAATCCTGGGAAAGGTTTCATCACGACTGCGTACAGAGCACTGTACATTCCACGAGAAGAATTAAGGTTCCAGAGCCATAGAACTTCTGAAGTT